CCGTAGTATGATTAACGTATTGGGGATAGTCTACGGAACAGAATGGATGGCTATAGCTTGGAGGCAACCGAAACAAGACTAATCTCGCGATGATTTACACATGAAATGCGAGCAACTTTCTTGAAAATCGGGTTAATACTTGGTTCGCCCCAAGAGGAAGGCACTTTCTCTTAATGCCAGATTTTTGCGAACAGCGAGGTCAGCTGGTTACTGATCGCCACGCCGCCGTACTTGAACAGCTCTGGAGCTTTGAAGCGCTTCAAGCGTCGAATCTCCAGTCAGACTTCCCCTTCGGTAGGTGCATTCAGAGGGACGAGCCAGGGTGGACAACAAGGTGTACTGCATGTACTGATGGACGGTGGAGGCCAGTTGAACTGCGAGTGAAATTACTCGGCCCAGCGATCCATATGCCTCTGTTGGTTAGTAATCGGAGACTCATCCACCTCGCAAATGACCTCACTGACGCTAGGCTTCCTGAGGCCAGTGGACCGAATGAGTTGGAAAAGCCTGAGAGTGTTGCCAGAGAGGACAGCGGTCTCCATCTCTGAAGCATACTCAGACCACCATGCCTCGCGATCCTTGCGTAGGTTTTGCCTGATCAACCGGTTGGCATAACGACGCCGATCGTTACAATCTGATGCTACCGGGATATCTTTGCAGCTTTCGAACAGCTCTAGAGAACGAGCAGAGATCCAAGTTTTTAAGGGATGTCGAGTTAAGCCGCAGCATGACTGTCCGGAAATGGTCATCGCTTTCTGTATACAAGTCCAGTGTTGCTCCACGTCTTGCGGTGGATTGCAACTGAGTGCTTATGCCAGTGAAGACTGATAGCTCGTTTGGACAGAGGAATCAGTTAATCAGTTTACCTCAATTTTACTGTGCTTCGTGTTTCGGGACCCCCAAAACACATGCAAATTTTCACGCAGGCCAGTGCATGTTCTGAATCAACTAAGGTGGATCAAATGGATATGCAGTCCACTACGTTGCCACGCCATCTGAAGCTACTTGCAGTGTGATCAATTTGAGGCCACGGTTGCTTTGGCGATGGGGACGCCACGTTACGAAACGCTTCTTCGTACGCCTGAAGTTAGTGCTCGAGAGAAACAGGCGGTTGTCCTCGCACAATGTGAGAAGTGTCCCTCCGTCATCAGAGCGGTTCTCATCAAGCACATGGTGACCACCAAGGCGGAATGCATATGGTAACAGACAGCCAACGCGTGCATTACAATCCCCAGCAAGGACAACGACATCCGACTTTTTAGCATTAGTCACTAGCTGTTGTAAATCTGGGTAGAATTCGTTCTTGACCGAGGCACCACTGCAGTCAGTTGGAGTGTACGCAGAGATCAAAAATAAGTCGCGCCAGTGTTGGTAGGAGCAACACCCAAATAATTCCAAGTCGGGTCTCCACTCGTGACGCTTGTTGATTCTACGTGAACCCCGAAGCCGAACTGCCCACAGTCGGCTGTTAATCAAGAACCAGTCCAGTAGTGCCGCCTCGGCCTTGCCACATAGTGCTATACCTACACCAGCCAAACCCGCTGAAGCTGCTTCTGGATCTCCAGAAAGACGCAGGTGTTATCTGGCTTCGTGGTCAGTGGGGGATATCAATGTAATCACAGTTCTGGGATCTTGCAATCGGGTTTCTGAAATGCAGCAGACATCAATATCGAGGGACTATAGTGTGCACGCTAGACCGGCTTGCTGTCCAATCTGCATGAGTGTCCGAACGTTGAAGCACGCCAGAGGGAACGAGAATCAAGGACGAAGGAGTGCCATCGGTTGAATTCCGTGGTTCGCGGCGCAACCGGAATCGCTGCTAGATTCTTGAGCACATGAATTGGGTAATGGATTGTTAACAAAGGATTGTTAACAAACAAACAATTAGCGTGTGATGAAGTCGCGTGAATGTGAGAAGTAGCAACGGTAGCTGTTGTGCACGTTGTAATACAGTCCACAGTTTTGTGAGATGGCGTGATACTACCTATTTGCCCAAGCCGAAGTAGGGAGTTGACTTTGGGGACCCCACCCCGAGCCTTTGGCTATATAACCTACCCGCAAGGCAGCGGGGCGAATTACGGGAATCTAGCCCATTGAGAGTCGATGACTGGATGTTCAGTTCATGCGTCTTTCGTTTGGTAGATCGCCAAACAGGGACCCAATACTCCCCATGAAATCAGCACAATTGTTGGACTACAATGCCCCACCGAGGTGGAACACTATCGCCGAACACTTTGCTGGAACGGAGTACACCCGAACCACCTAGGTGTCCCCATGAAGAGGTAGTTAGTTATTATATACTTGAGAATTTGGATACGGTATCACCGACTATTTCAGCATGAATGCCTCGGTAACAGTAATTTACGTGATATATTAATGTGAAAATAGGCGTTTTTCCACGTGCTCATTGTATAGCGGAAAGTACATAGATCAGTCTCGATGAACGGAATCATGAAGGGACGTGCTTTTATTGTGCGTATACGAGTGTCATGCTATATAATGACAAATGCAGATAGCACCTCCCCGTTCCAAGCCGTCCGTTAATTTGGAGCATGCGTCTGGATTCCGACCATATGTCACCATCTCACTCACTATTTTCACTGCAAGGAAGCACAACACTTCTAGGCTTCTCGCATTTTTTCTGGTATTGGGTATCACATCCGTGGCAAAATATTTCTTTATGTTTCTGCCGTCTTTACTGGAAACTGGTTCCGTTGTTTGATGTATCTACTCCTGCGAGACATATCTTTGGTGATGAGCATAGTTCATTTAACTCGAAAACTGTACCGATGCCTACGTGATGGACGCAGTTGACGTGCAACTGTGAAATGTTACCCTTGTGTGCTATGGATGAAGTTAGTTCGATTGTCATTTTACACATCGTACTCAGGCAAATCGAGGTCGTCTTCAGGCTACTACAAAATTTCCGTCCCAGCCTTTTCTTGTGTGGGTATTTTACCGTGTGAGCGTCCTTCCATGCGCAGTACCATTGCTCAGACACTATTGATCAAGGATCATTTAAAGCCTGTCAGAGTCCCACTGTGGGACGTGGTCACCAACCTCGATATGTTCATACCAAGTGCGTTCGAGTCACCGACTCACTGAGGCTTCGGTAAACTGCAGTACGTGAGCATTGGTCTGTCTGTGTAGTCTAAATGAATCACGCATGCTTTGACACGTAGGGTAGTCGGGTATGTGCCAAGGGATCGGAATAACATATATCCATGTGTAAAATTTTCGTGTGTAGAACCGATCATATGATGGGGTTCATACCTGGCGCGCGTACAGTCGGTCCATTATGAAAAACAGACGCCATGTGACTTGCTGGCAAACTCTAATGAATGTCGACTGAGTGATCGAATACCCGGCTTTGATGCGAACAACCAGCAAAATATGGCAAACAGGTCAGGGTAACGCGTTCAAGTTGGTTGAGGCTGGGTTGTTTCCGTAATTAGAATGTCTGATTGACAAATAGAACAGTCTCTTCTCATAGGGTATATCTTAGTCTACCTTTACTTTTCACCATTGCATTGGACGCTAAACAGAGCGAACCGTGAGTAACAGTTACCACAGGCGAAGCCTCGCAACAAGGCTCCTGCACATGCTTTGGACGCTCAAATGCAGCTTTTGCATTTAGTCTAAAGAGATTGCCACGCGCCTCTTCTATCTTAAGACCGATGCTCGAGTACGGTTCACCCGCCTATTGTCCGACCACCCGTGCCGAGGTGCAGGCCTGGAACGTGTTCAGCACCATGTGGCTGCACCGCTCATCCCCAGTTTACGGGGTGTGCCGTAGGAAGACCGATGCAGGCCACTAAGGCTACACGTGTTGTCGTATCGTCGGTTTAGTGTTGACCTCATTATGACGCATCGGATATTGCAGTTGGATCATTTCCCCATGCTGAGGCCACTGTTTCACGTGCGCGCACTAAGCAGCACTGACTGCAACCGGTGCAGGTTAGTGGTATCGGATCTAAAGGGTATAGCGCACTCTCTTTGCTTCGAGCGCCGAGTGGTGAAATATTGGAACCTTACGCCTGCGAAAATTGTGGACGCGAAATCGGTGTCGGAATTCAAGAAATTCCTAGACACCTACTTTGCGGATTTCGGATACAAACAACCGAATGGCCTATGGTGCGGCTGTACCATGCAGCAGACGCTCAGGAATCAGTGACATGACTTTGCACGTGCCCGAACTAATTACGATGGAGCAACACAGACGCATGTCTACTAGCTCACTATTTTCAGGTTCCAATATTCTTGTTGACAGTCACTTTTTATCGAATTGATACTGTGAGCTCGCCGGCAACAATCATTATAGTCTTCGCCTACTTCATGCAAGTTCGGCCCCATGTTGGACAGCTGTTGTTTTTCCTTGATTGCACACGACCACAAATTGACAGCTAGGTTCCCGTCTCTAGATTGGCTATTACAACTCTCTGGTTCTAGACACTGCACCAAAATCTGTTGTTGTTATTGCTGTTGTTTACTATCGCACCTGTTGTAGCTGCCACGCTGTCCTCGTTTTTTAAAGCTAGGTTTTGATACAGAAATCCAGGATTCAATTTTTTTGCTGTGGAAAGCCTGGAGTAAGCCCGGCAGATGACCATTTGCTTGCACACAGTAGTAAGCCACGGGTAATCACAAACATTTCACTTTCTTGTCAGAATCCTCAGCACTGTTATGTGAGTCACTTACGGCCCTCCAGGCAGTTGATTGTGACCAAAAAACAAACATCTTTCGCACGTATCGTTTGTCTGACTTCGCATTACTCATCCGTGCTTCTGACTACATCCTGCTTATCATCACTGATGCTATATATATATATATATATATATATATATATATATATATATATATATATATATATATATGATAGATGGCTAAGTAGATAGATACCTTAGCTGTGACTGCGGCTCAAAATGTGTCACTTTGTATTGCTTTCTTCCTATCTGTGAGCCTCCAATTTTTTTAGCTTTGTTTTACCTTCACCATCGCAGCCCTCCGAGCATGATCGCCCAGTCTCAGTCTGGAACTGGGAAAACCGCAACTTTTTTGATGGCTATGTTGTGCAAGGTCGATGCGGATCATCCATTTTGTCAATGCTTGTGCATGGTTCCCACCCGCGAGCTGGCAACTCAGCTTGTCAGTGTCGGCCGCCAAATGGCAAAGTACATGGATGGTATTACCTTCGGTACTGCCATTCGTGATCCACAAGGTAACGGTTTTCTTTTTTCTAGGTTGCTGTGCTACTTTGTTTCTACTACTGGGGGAGCGGTTGCCTCTTACGCATACTACTGTGCGTCACAGCTCACCAACTTTTGAATTTGCTGTTATCTACAGCCACGGTCGATTCGGACGGATTTGTTACTAATCAAGTCGTGATCGGAACCCCGGGTACTGTCGCCAGCTGGATGCGGTGTTTAGGGCCCTACCGACTCGATGCCTCCTGCCTGAAGATGTTTGTCTTAGACGAAGCGGATGTTATGATTGAGGAAGAAGGTTTCTGCAATATTTCTATGCGTGTTAAGAAGTGAGTTTTCACCTCCCATAGACTTGCTCATGTATGCTCGATGTCAGTTTCTCCATGAACATCTTGGTTTTTTTCAGATGCTATGCATATTTGGTCCCGTGTCAAAATCATCCACTCATACTTCATTAAGTGCCTTTTACAACCCATCCTTCAGTAAAGGGGTTCTTGTATCTAACCCACAGCCAAAGATTGCAAATAATTTTTATGTTCAACTCTAACTGCTAGCCCGTAGCCTTAAGGATCACAAACCTGTCTTGTCATCTGAGGGCGCGGCTTCAAGGCTGCGTAGAGACCGGGTGACTCTCGCAGTATGCTTAGCCCACCTGCGACTGGTGGTGCATATGCGACAACGAAGCGTCTGTACTGAGTACCGGAGCATTGCTAATTCCTAAATCATGTCTGTTCGCTGGTATGACATCCTTCTCGGTATACTATCCAACTGTTCGCGCTTCAACGTAAGGCACTCATTGTCATCTCCAATTCTGCACGAATCGGTTACCGGCCAAACATGAATGGCATAACTCTATGATGTGCCCACCGGACTACATTCAGTATCACGTCCAACAATCCTCTCCTGAGCAACGGCATTTAATGGATTGTTACATCTCATCTAGCTCAATTATCATTTTCCCCGTCAGGTTATATCTGAGCTCACTAAAATGCCATCATTTTGCTCAACTCACTTGTCGCTCACATCGGTTCGGGCCTGCATGTTCACCTTCACTAACCCGGTACCTCATCTGTGTTCCGGTGTTTTCACATACACCCTGTCTTTCCTGATACGCCTACCGTACGCATCTCTCGATGCGCCTGTCTGAAAGAAGTTTAAAATGATTGTTGTTCCTTCACCGGGTCTTTGAGTGCAATTCGTTAGCTGACCTCCATTCCCTTTCCAGTATCATGTCAAACACCTTCGTCCGTCCTCCTTCCCACCAAAAGTGTTTCTCATGCTCTACCGCTAGCGCTCAGTGCCACATTTATCCACAACTGCATGAAACGTCGTCTTTTCTTCCCCTCTTAGACGCCTTCCGCCTACATGCCAAGTGTTACTGTTTTCAGCAACATTTGAGGATGATGTGGTGGAGTTTGCTAGAGAATTTGTACCAGATGGAATTGAAATTCGGGTCAAACGTAACCAATTGCCTCTGAAAAATATTCGACAATTTTTCCTAAAATTCGACGATTGGCAGACGAAATACCAAGCTTTAGCGGATATTTATGGCGGTTTCGATGTCGGCCAAGCCATCATCTTTTGCGCGGTAAGTATTTGGTCTCTTCTATCATTTAAATTTTCTCCTCGGTGCTTTTTCCTTTATTCTATTACAATCCATTGTGCTGTGTCTATGTTTATTTAAGTTGAGACGGCCAAGTTCATCACCCAAGGCCAATACACGTTTAGGGTTTGGTGTTGCTATCAAATCAGCCAATACGTAATGGCTTCGCGGGGAACCTGGTCTAATCATTTAACGCAGGTTTTCTTCGCACTTCTCTTACTGTAAGCCGATCTTTTTCCTGGATGAATAAATTCGTTTCGTTTGCAGCAACACATCTACTGGTTATTTCTCTTTTCAATTGCATCATCCCAACGAAATTTTTCAAGCGGATTGCATTCTAGGAAACAGGCAATGTTTAAGAAACTGATTGCCATCATACTATAATTCAACCAGTGCAACAACAGCAGGCATGAACGTAAGGTAGCGGAAATTTTTAGGTGGCATTAAAGTGATTTTTAGCAGAGGTTTCAGCCTATTCGCTCTGTCATAGTGGAAATAGTGAATAGTACTATCGGGAGATGGAACCCACCGAGAAACTTATCCGGTGGCATATTTTTTCAGAGAAATCATGCAGAGACAATTGGCAAAAGGCCATGCGAAAGATATTGCGCACATTGGTGATGAAACCCATCGCAACGAGACTGGACTTTCACTTGGTGCGAAGGTTTGCATACCTCTTTGACCCATTGAGCTATACTGGGTGGTGCCTCCGGGCCTTGATAACTACTTCTACCACGTTGCTCCATCGTTAGAGGTCAGACAAGCTCAGTCTCCTGGTCCTCCAGGTTCGGGGTTTGAAATGAGTTGGTGTCCATTTCTGTAAAACTAACTCATTTTCACCTCCCCGCTGCCTTGCGGATACGCTTTTGAATCAAAGGCTTTGGTTGAAGACCCTAATCGTCCTCCTGTCTAGGTCTGAGCGCACTGGCAGTATCTCGGCCCACAAACAACCACAACTTTTTTCAAACATAAACTTCATCTTGCATTATTCGTCGCGCAGGTTATCAAGAGTCATCTTATCTTCTGCATACAGCAGGGCAGATAAACGAAAACATGTTACTGCTGGCGGCTCCTTTCTTTTCCACCTGGTTCTCTAACTCCCATCCTGATCCCCATTACTAACCTCCCTTCTATGGTTCCTAGTTTAATTGACAGCAGCCGTAACGCCACTGGTGTCACACCACTTACACTTACTTTCTCGCACCACCCACTGGTCGTCTATCGGCCTCGGTCCCATATAAGGCCAAGCATTCCCGTTTCCCTGACGGCGTTCAACTTTCGCACTTTAAAACAACTGGGTCAACGAGCTGCACTCCCACGTACGTTTACACACTGGGTGTTGCGTATGCAAAACTAGGATCAATGACCCAAATGGGGTTGTTGAATTAACTGCGTCCTGCTTGTCCTCTCGCTATTGACCTGTAGGATAACTTTCGGACAACAAGTGGTGTACTTCGGGTTTGTCCGATTTCCGCGTTTTTCGTTCAATTTTGTCTCGGACTCCACCATGAAGTGTTCTCTTGCGGGATATCACGATGCAAGTGTTGAGATGTTGCTAGTTGATCATTATGCGGCCGATATCGTCTTGCTTTCCGACAATGTTGTGGCGACCAAATCAACCCTGAATAGCCTCTATAGTGTGGTCCCATTATTTAGCATGCGCTTCGCACATTCTAAGTGTAAAGTGTTGTTGCAGGACCACCAGCCACTTTATGATCCCGTGTCCCGTCGCTGTATAAGCAGCCACGGGTGTATAGCTACCGAGGTCAGTTCAAGTGTTGCAAAAGTCAGAACTGCTTTTTTGGATCTGCGACACCTTTGGCGACAGAAAGGTTTCCCACCGTTTGAAATATTTTGTTTACAAAGCCATAGTGAGGACCGTCCTACCCTATGCGGCCGGTGGCCGAGTGGTCGGCACGTTTGCTTTCCAACCATAAGGTCACCGGTTCGAATCCGCGTAGGGGTGGGCGTCCTCGCGGTATACTCAGCCCTCGCGCGACTAGTGGTGGTCGCGCGGCAGCGAAGCGTCGTTACGGCGTATAAGCTGACACATTATTATTATTATTATTATGCGAGTGAGACTTGGTCCGTTCGATCTGAAAATCTGACGTGCCTTCAAGTCTTTGAGCCTCGTTGTCTGCGGAGCATTAATAGTGTTGGATAGTACCAGCGCGCTCCCAACGATGATGTTCGTAGGCGACTGCGAAGCAATGATATTCAATCTAGTTCCTTAGAACACTAAATAGCAATAAATAAGTTGCGTTTGCTTGCGCAGGTCCTTCGTATGCCCGGCCACTGCTTACCGAGCAGGGGCTTGTTTTGTCTGCCAGATGTAGGGTAGCGCAAGGCTCGAGGTGGACAAAAGTTGACTTGGCAGCGGGAAATGAAGTCACTGACGAGCAAACTTGGTGTAGTCGGTCCACGTGACTCGCCTTGTGCTTGGTTCGAGAGTACAGTACATGGCTCGCAGTCGACACGTCCGCTGCCATCTAGTCGGACCGCGTATTGAACGTGTGTTTGGTGCTGAGTTGTCTGCGCTGTAGTGGCTGATCACGACGCGGGGCAGTGAAAGCCGCAAGGAAGCTGTCTCGCCGATGCCACCTTATCTTTGCACGATAGCCAGCTGTATGTGCTAACATGTTGTTGATAAAGTGTAGGCGCTTTGACTCTGAATGCTTGCTTAGGACATTAAGGTTTTCCGGTAAGTCCACCTTCTATCCGTCTAATGGCTCTTCGTTCTGCAGGTAGTTATGGTTGTATGGCAGGGAAGCATCAGTTCAAATGGCTCATGTACTGCTGTTGATGATGAGTGATGAAACAGTACAAGGAATCCCTCATCAGCAGCAATACATCAGTAATTCGACCTGATGCTTCGCTTACGTACAACCGTGCCGATTCAGAAAAGCGGAATCAGTAAAAAGCAAAATCGATACATAAATACCATAACTTTGTGCTAAGGTGCTTACATCATATCGTCAACAAAATCATTTATTTTGGGTATCTTAGGTGAAATCAGGGAGTTTCCTTGAGGTTTTCACTGCTGCGCGTCATTATCGGCCATAACCTACAGCTAACACAGCATCCACTAAGAGACGATAGAAAACACGCCACTTTTGCAACGGTTAGTTACGTCGTGCAAGTTCGCGCGTTAAGCGCAAGGCGGGTCAGGTGAACTACAGTCTAGAATGTAGGAGCAATTAACAACACAGTGTAGTTATCATTGACCTTATTTCCAGCTGTCGAGTCGATTTTTGCCCTGCTCCGGTCGTTGCGGCACCCCGAAGCTGGTACACCAAACAATGCCGTCTTCGATAAGATGCCAGCCGACACACGTATCGCAGTGAAAACACAGCACCTAATGAGTACACGACCTTATTACTTCTGTTACGGTGTCGGAAATATGAAACTCTTCAGGTGGATTTGCGCTTTTGTCTGTATGCATGAGCTACCACCGAAATAGAGGAGTCAGACGACCTCGAGGTTGATGGGACTGAATCGTTTTTCTAGATATGCAAGCTATCTGGAAGCAGAGTAAGTATACCGAACACTTGACTCGGTGAAATTGTATGCGAACTAGCGCGAATTCGGAAAGTTCGCGGTTGTTCAAAATATCTGCACTGCTGCGATGACGAACATTATTGGGTGAATTGAAAAATGACAGGCGACTCTTCAATTTTGTGAATCAGATAGTCCTAAAGGACACTGTCCTATCACCTTACGTAATTTCTTGAGTGCGGTTTTCTTTACTTGTCTGAGTGTCAGAGTACTAAAGCGATATCACCCTTGGACTGGATTCTACTACTTTACAGCGCTACTTAATAAGGCGAAACGCGGCATTGCGCTCTTTGATGTGTGTTTCGCATTGTCCAATCACAAACTGGAGACGGGCTCGAATTGACCCAACTCCGATTCTGACTACCACCAATCAACCACAGCAACTTGTTGACCGGTTCACTTTGCCGACTATCTGTACCACCTATGGTATTGGGAAGCCTCGAGTGGTTTTTCAAAACCCTCATCGGTGTCGGAGTTTAAGGGATTCCTTGACGCCCACTTTGCGGACCACAGATTTAGGGAGCCTATCGCACCCGGATAAGATGTAGTGCAGCTGCAATATGCTGCTACCGCACAGGAATCAGCGACCTGATTCCGCGCATGTACTCGGTCCACCTACGATGGAGCAACACAGATTTATATCTTCTCGCTATTTATCTTCAGTATTCACTTACTCTTAAGTATGGAGCGAACGCGTGGATCAATGTCGTGGGTAGTACACACTGAAGGCACTATGAGACTGGTACTCGATGTTTGCGAACTATTACTTTTATTTGGTGAAAACATCGAAGGAAGAAACCAGTAGTCTTCACAATTTGTGTATCGCATTGCGATGTTTGTTTCAATCGAACCGTCCATCCAGGTTGGTTCAAGTTTTTAACTAACGAATTACATTTTCGTGCACTTATGCTGGTGTTACTTTTCGTTATGTGAAGTCCCGAGGTGATCAGCCAATGACATGTTGAGTATGAAGGACTTTGCTGTAGGGCCAGTGTAGGTTGATGCCAACGCACTTTGACGAAGTTCCGGGTTCAGATACCTCGATGGTTGGTTACTTTATCGGATACACTGCGGCCACGAAATCAGTAGCACAGCTGCATTCTTTTCTTTGACTGTTGTTTATTTTTGTTCTACCCTATCATTTCCCATAGCTTGATCTGTGCTTTTCTTTTTTCCACAACTATCTCCTTGATTTTCATGGGTTTTGACGACTCCTTGTCTATTCGTATACCGTTGAAAATGTGTGTATATTTATCCACGCTAGCCGACCCTCCATTTTCTTCCCTTTTCCAGATGTCCATCTACTGTCTTTTTTCTAGCCGTTCGCCTCTGAATCTATCTCAGTTTGATGCTTTGGTCATAGTTAATCCATTAATCTCTAATTTACATCCGCGTTTTCAACTGATTTCTCGGTGAAACAGTTCTGCTTTTGCGAGTGCAACCGTTTCACTTCATAGATACTCAAATAGTGACAAAGTTTCATGTACGGCATTAGTAGTAATTCCTCTGTTATGGTATTCTTCTCCGAAAAACTTATCTTACTGCTCGCTTGTGGCATGCGCACGTCACATTTGCGATCCGTTATCACATGTATTCCACTTGAATCCTTTATTCCCAGACTCGTATAGAGGCCGCGTGGTTGGAAGGCCGTCTGACACAAGATGGTCATAAGGTTTCCCTCTTGTCTGGTGAATTGGAGGTAAATGATCGTGAAACTGTCATCCAGCAATTTCGGGAGGCTCGTTGCCGCGTATTGATCACAACGAACCTGTGCGCCAGAGGTGAGGTTTCCGCTTTATATATGGGTTTTTAGCCTTAGCTGCTTTGGCGTTACTCATTGAGTGCATTCTTCCTTCATTGTTGCGTCTCAAACCATGAACAGTAGCCATTTGTATTTACCACACTTTCATTGTTTTCAGGATTGGATATTCCCCAAGTTAATTTAATTGTGAATTGGAACATGCCCGTCACTCGTGACGGGTCAGCTGACTGTGATACTTACTTACATCGTATTGGTCGTTCCGGTCGCTTCGGTAAAGATGGTGTTGCGGTAAATTTCATCCTTGAAGAAGAAGTTCACCTCCTACGGGAATTGGAAAACCATTTTGGTATGTCCACTTGCATCTGTTTATTATTTGTCTTTTGTTTTCACCTTTATCTCTCCTTTTTTGAAATCTTCATTTCGTGTTCACGTTAGCGGTAAACCGCCTAGCTTCTCGTCCGCCACCGCCTTCCTATTTTTCATCTCTAGAGTTGTTCCTCTGTCTGTCGACTGTTGAATGGCTGCACATGTTATGGCAAATCAGCACTTACCGCAGTTGGTCATATGTTAACTCCATATATATATATATATATATATATATATATATATATATATATCCTTAACTTATGTTACGAGTGGTGCTAGGGACGATGCGGCTCGATCTAATGAGCTAACACTATCATTCTGGGGTCCACTGATGCAAGTCGGCCACTTGGATTGGCTTGTTGATGTGCGTCAAAGGCGTTTCCCTCCTCCTCCGTCACCCGTGCTTTCAAACCAATAGCCTTACAAGCTCTATTATACCATTCAACCAATAGGTCTATGAAAGCTATAATGTCGCTATAGTGGGCGACGCCGAAGCACCTGTACGCCACCGAAAGGATTTGGCTCCGCGTGAATGATGGTTTTCTTTTATTTTCATTTTGTCGTCTTTCGGCAACTAGAATGTGACGGGTCGTAGTTTTATAAACCACCTTTGCTAACCATGCTTCATTAATATACGTGACTTTTCTCACTCTTATTGTGTCGTAGTTAATCCCCTTTCAACGAACTAGATCCTTGCATATTTTCTTTCTCTTCATGTAGCCTAGTTGTCCACGTCATCCGCTTCTTATTTAGCACTAGCGCGTGGCCCTTTCATAATCCACCCTCGTATTGTTTCTTCTTTTAGATATTTCCATCCCCCCTTTGACCACAGAGGACCTGCTTGGTATATAACTACTCAGTTATCATCGTTTCAAGAAGACACTACTTGGTTTCATATCACTACTTCTCGTCCCACAGATCTTTTTTCTTGCATTTTTTCTCCTGTTCACAGTACCTAGTTGCTTATTCTACGAATTCTTCAATTACACAACTAAATGCGCACTAAACACACTTCTTTTCCTTGGGTCCAATTGTTACCTGGCTTCGATTCTCAGAAGTTTTGACGAATTTCATTGGATAATTGACACGGCTTCACTCAATCGGAGGCGCCTGTGGCGAAGCACTCTACGATCAGTTCGTCTTTTGCAACCCATCGTCAGTCCGCTTGGTGCTGTTTCTCGCACTTCACTCACACCAGTACTGCCGTCCTAATCTCCAGCCTGGCTTCTTTGGTCATTCACTTCCGCCTGCATCTGTGCACACTGTCAATTGAACCTAGTTTATGCTCGCATTTACATGCTCATGCTAATCAGACTTTTCTGTTCGTACCTGGGTTTTCACCTTTGATCCTAGGTCTTTCAGCCGTCAGGTGTCCTGTAGGGAGGTACTGTTGCGAGAAAAGGAAAAAAGTAGGATTTGTTTCGCTTGGCTAATTTTTGGCAGGCTTGTAGTTTATGAGTTGAGGGCATGTTTTCTTTTGCCTTGACTAACTAACCTAGATACGCTAGTTTCATTGTTTTAACTGAACGGGTCGCGGTGCAAGGTGGAATACGGTGAAGTGCTGATACCCAACTTCCGTCGGAGGTGTGCGTGAGCCATCTTGATTTGTCCAACTAATGTCCGGGGGATGCGCATTACGATATGTGAAGACGGTTTTCTGGCTATCTTGCCTCTTTGCTAGCGTGCGCTTGTTTTATTTACGGCGTTTGCGGGTTTACGGCAAGCTGTCGCCACCCTTCAATATCTCCAGCGGTGTGAGGCAAGGATGCTCGCTGTCACCTTTCCTTTTCAACTTCGCTATTAACGAAGTCATGGAGATTGCATTTACAGGACATGACTTGGAAGGTGTGGAGCTACTCCCAGGAGAACGACTTCTTGACTTGGAGTACGCAGATGACATTGCCCTCATCTGTGACATCTCCCAGACGTGCCAAGACGCGCTGGACAGATTAGCACTGGCTGTCAGTCGCTTCGGGCTTTGCTTTGCACCACCGAAGTGCAAAGCGTTCCTCCAAGATTGGCAGGGATCGCCCCCTGTGTTGACCCTTAGTGGGGATCAGCTAAAAGTTGTTCAGAAATTCAAGTACCTGGGAAGTTGTATCAGCGCCCTTGGAACAAAGACGAGACCACGAAACTTATAGCGAAAGGTCGAAGTGCTTTTGCTAACCTTCGGCACTTATGGCGACGGCGTGACATTAGTCTCGTCCTGAAGTGTACCATGCAGTGGTACGTTCGACCTTACTGTACGGTTGCGAAAGCTTGCCCCTACGATCAGCGGACATGAAGAGGCTACTTACGTTCGACCATCGGTGCCTTCGCACTTCGGCTCACATCTGGTGGGAACACCGCATGAGTAACGAACGTGTACGACGCCTTGTTTACGGACCAGTAAATGGGAATGAATTGCTCAGCACCGTTATTTCCCGCACCAGGTTCCGTGGCTCGGCCACGTGTTGCGCATGCCAGCCCACCGACTCCCTCGACGTGCCTTGTTTGCTCAACGGGGATGTGGGTGGAAAAAGAGGAGAGGTGGCCAAGCGATGACTTTGTCCAGAGGAATGAAGTCCCTAACTTCGGAGCTAGCCTCGGTTGGAGCTTCACGGCTGCCTGGTTGGGGTCCAAAATACGGTGTACACGTTTGGCTGGATACACTTGCTGACATGGCAAGGAGCCAACCTCAGTGGCATTCCTGCTGTGAGTTTCTTTGTCCCTCCCCATCTTTTGTAGCCTCCCCCTCCATCTACTATCTTATTTCGTAGGGTAAAACATAATTAAATTTGTTGTTTTTGCCCAGTGGCCGGCTGGTAGCTCAGCTGGCATGCAGTTGTCGTATTTAGGTTTCCTTTATGTATTGTATGTATGTATGTATTTCCTTTATACTATATAGTATAGTGTATAGTAGTGCATGCCTTCACCGGAGGTGCAATCTTCAATATTGCCGCAAATCAGCATTGGTGCTGAAGTATTGGAAACCACCTCCCGCTTCTGCTACCTTGGGAGTGTGATGTCGACTGATCAACGGCTACACGTTGAGTTGCGTAATCGCGTGTCGAAGGCGGCAGCGGCATTCGGGAAGCTTGAGTACCGAGTGTGGAACAACCATCAGCTTAGCATTGGCACGAAGCTGATGGTGTACAAATCCATGGTACTGTCCGTTCTTCTATACGGCAGTGAAACGTGGACGATGTACCGTCGGGATGTGCGATATCTCGAGCGGTTCCATCAGCAGTGTGTGCGACGAATTTTGCGGATCGGCTGGGGCGCCAGAGTTGCAGACACGGAAGTGTTGCGCCGAAGTGGGATGTATGCAGTGGACGGCATACTTTTACTGCGACACCTGAGATGGCTCGGTCATGTGAGCCGTATGGATTCGACGCGAATACCGAAACAACTTTTATACGGTCAGCTGAGTATAGGGAAGCGGCATGCTGGGAAACCCAAGTTACGTTACCAGGACATGATTAAAGTGAGCCTCACACGTTCTAATCTTGATTGCAGATCATGGGAATCGAAGGCGGCTGATCGTGGTGCATGGCGCGATCTAATCACGAAGGCAGTTGCTGAGGTGCGGGAGAAAGCCCTCATGCATGCAGAGAAGAAGCGGCAAGTGCGGAAGCGGCAAGCACCGATGAATTGTACTCCATCGACATCGAGCGCATTGTGCTGTAGAACATGCGGTCGCGAGTGCCTTAGTCAGGCAGGCCTAGTGAGCCGTGAGAGAGGTCACTCGGTACCACTGCCGAAGCGACGACGGGTCCAGCAGTGAACGTAGGCAGCACCGGCGCAGTGTTTGTAGGCACGCTGAATTCGATTTACTAACCGCATGCTTGCATGCTAAGTCTCTTTATTTCAGGTGGTGGGTTTTCGGTTCTCTCTTAATTCCTTTCTTTCTCATATAAATGTCTAGTGGGCCATGAGCTAGGTCCTTTGGGGCCACTACAGAAGCGACGACGGGTCCTGCAGAGAATTACGGCGAGCCGGCGCAGCGTTTGTAGGCACGCTGATTTCGATTTACTAACCGCATGCTTGCATGCTAAGTCTCTTTATTTTAGGTGGTGGGGTTTCGGTTCTCTCCTAATGCCTTTCTTTCTTTCTCATATAAATGTCTAGTGGGCAATGCGCTGTGCCATTTGGGACCACTACAGAAGCAACGACGGGTCCTGCAGAGAATTACGACGAGCCGGCGGAGCGTTTGTAGGCACGCTGATTTCGATTTACTAACCGCATGCTTGCATGCTAAGTCTCTTTATTTCAGGTGGTGGGTTTACAGTTTGTGCCTAATGCTTTCCTTTCTCATAGGAATATCTCCATGTACTCTATTCCATTAACTTGCACACATAGCTTCAGCCAATTGTATTCGATTTCCATAACATTTTTGTGTGGGTTTACAGTTTGCGCCTAATGCTTTCCCTTCTCATATAAATATCTCCATGTACTCTGTTTCATTACATTGCACACATCGCTTCAGCCAGTTGTATTCGATTTCCATAGCATTTTTGTGTTTGTGGCATTCCGTGAACTATACTTCCTGACCTCGTGCACTTAGCTAGGATTTGTTTGTAAACAACTTATAACGTATGCTATTTAATTAAGGTTTATATCACCGTTTCCTTATGCATTACTCGAGTTTTTCTCTTTCTCTTTCTCTTTTTCTTTCTCCCCCTCTCAAGTGTTTGGCTGTTGTTTGATATCCCCGGTGTGGCTGCGCTTGATGTGTATGTTGACAAGGTGCCTACCTGTCTATTACCCACTACCTCGTCCATACTGGCTCCAGGAGACAGTTGGTCGTTGCTGGAGGGGACGGGGTGCACGGTTCTTGTGGCCTTGTTAGCCTCGAAGAGTGGTTCCATGCACTCAGTGTGGCGCGGACTACGGTCCAGCCACCGCCTTGTGTGCGCTTGATTCCCAAATACAGTGTGCTTGTGTTTGCCTGTGTAGGAGTGTGGGCCGGCTCCGTTGATGAAACGTGGTTCCCATCCGCATGCCTCCCGGTCTTATTCCTTCGGGTTTACACTGGATATGGGGTATGTGGTTGGAGCTGTGAGTGGTGCAGCGCAAGCCATCCATGGTCCCTCTGTAGGCGCAGGCGTCCTGTGGCTTGCCACAGTGACAGGCAAATCCGAAACCGGATGCCGCCAACCATTTCCTTTATGCATTGCGGTACAATAGCGGAGGAGATTTACCACCTCTAGCTGACATGTGTAATGGTGATGATGATGATGATCAACGGGATATATAAAGCAGGCGTTCTATGATGGCTTCTTTTGCCAGTTGCAAATTGACAGATGTAAATAAAGCGGTGACGTCAAAGGAGACCATCGTTTCGTCATGATCTATATGCAGGTTCTTGAGCTTCTCTAGAAATTGCTCGGAGTTGTTTACGGAGTGCTGCGAACCGTTGAGTAGATGTTTGAGGCGCCTCCACAATTCTTTCGCCAGGTTGTAGGTGGGTGTACCTGGAAGTGAAACAATTGGCCGCAACGGAGCACCCTCTTTGTGTACTTTTGGGAGCCCGTAGAATTGGGCGATGTTCGAGTCACGGGCTCTCATTTTATTCCTTTCAATTTCTGTAATTTCCTTCAACTGTTGTAGTTCATGCAATGTTTTGTTTATTTGATTTGTTAGCTGCGATGTCGGATCGTAATTAATGCGACTGTATGTGCTTGTATCGTTCAGAAGTCGTTTTGCCTTCTCAATATAGTCTACCTTATCCATTATGGCTGTCATACGTCCTTTGTCTGCAGGAAGGATAACAATTGACTCGTCGGGTCTCAGGGCTTTCATTGCTTCGTGCTCTTGTCGAGATAGGACATTGTATTGCTTGACATGTGTCATGGCAGGGACGATTGTGTGTCGGATTTGCTCCTGTATCTCTTCTCTAAGTCCATTTGACCGTAGAGCGTTTTCGAATTCCGCTAAAAACTCCGTGGTTGCCGCGTCTTTGATATTGTAGTTTAACTCTTTGGTGAGTATCTGCTGCTCTGTCTCACTGAGCGGTCGTTTAGAAA